GGACGTGTCATTGACAATGACTTGTCATCTATAAATCAGCAACCAGAAAATACTGAGTGCTATTCAGTGACTTGTTGACATCCTAAGATGCTGAAAACTTGCAAATACAATAATAGTTTCATTTTGTACATGATGCATATTGTTTGTCAAGAACTTCCAATACAAGAAAGGTGACAATACATCTTTAATGAGTTCACCATTTGCTGACACCCTATTAATAGACGCAGAGAGTATTACTTAGTTGTCCAGATTGGACTAGTTTTATGGTATATGAGTAGTTGTTATAACATCACTTTCTGATGTTACATTCCTCTTTGTGTTTCGTTGTATTTTTGCAGGGTCATGCAGGTGATGTATTTGAAGCTTATCCACAATTGTTAACAGAAATGGTTCTTAGATTACCCTATCAGGTATGCAAACTATCAGCATGTCATCTATAAATCTTGAGTATTGCATGCTATCAATGTTTACAAGGCCAAATTACACAACTAACTGTAATCAGCTGATTCTAGTCAGCCAACAGTTTTAAGAAGTTGGCTGACTGATTGTATGTAATGATGCCAACTACAGTGTAATCTCACCTAAATATTCACTGGACAAAAATGATTGGGATTACTATTTTAATGTGATGTTCATTTCAATGATAACACTGCACATAATATAAAGCACATAAAGCTTGGAGACCTTTGACATTATGTGGCAAGGTGACAGTAGTGAAGACATTAATGAGAACACTTGATATGTTTACTTTATTTACAGATTAAAAAGATTGCTGATTCCAATAGTGGAGTTGCCACACCCATCTTTGATCAAGCATGGTTTTACTATCTATGTGAGGTAAGACTGGTTGTCGATTATATTCTTAGTATTTTAGCTCATTCCTTTCTGTTGCCAGATTGCATTCTCAGTTCCTTTGCTTTTTGTGGTATTGTTTGGTGGTTTCCAGATTATTTCTTCTGTGTTTGGAAACATAGCAGAAGTTTGGCATGTAAAATATTTAGTCAGAAAAGAAGAAGGAAAAAAACCTCCGATCATTTAAGCACCACTGTCATGCCATCGCATTGTGTCATGGATTTCTGTGTGTGTGTCATGGATTTATGTGTGCATGTCATGGATTTATGTGTGCGTGTCATGGATTTATGTGTGTGTGTCATGGATTTATGTGTGCGTGTCATGGATTTATGTGTGCGTGTCATGGATTTATGTGTGCGTGTCATGGATTTATGTGTGCGTGTCATGGATTTATGTGTGCGTGTCATGGATTTATGTGTGTGTGTGTCATGTGTTTATGTGTGTGTGTCATGGGTTTATATGTGTGTGTCATGGGTTTATGTGTGTGTGTCATGGGTTTATGTGT